TGTCCAACAAATGCAACCAAATGTGCAAGGCTAGAGAAATAGTTTAGTTTCCTAATTCCAACTACATGGCTTTTAATAGTTTCTCAACAACTGATCATGCAGCAGTGGGTATTTCTAGCCTTGTATCACCTATGCAATTTTGTTAACATGCCTATTTTTTAAAAAAAATAGCCCACCATGGAGCCTATATCCTGAGCAAGGTGTTTTTCAACAAGTGCCTGCTAACTGAACACAAATTTAGCTTTCCTGTCCCCTCAGGCTTACAGATAGGATTTATACTTTTTGAAATCCAGCTTTATCTAAAGGTAGTGCTGAGAGATATCAGCAATATAGAGAATGCTGACTTTTGGAAATGTCGTCCTGATTTTAAGAGACTTTAGTAGTGATTTAGGATTGTCTGCACGCCCTATCCCTCTCCAAAATTTCTATCCTGTTTATAAACCTGGTCATGCCCAGCATTATTTTTCTAAAAAAATTAATTAGTACATTCGTTGTAGTGTTATTGTTAATGTGTATTGCTATTTTCTGTTTATGAGTTTTATTTATTGTTGTATTACTGTTGCTATGTCTTATTGTTGTATTGTGGGCTCGGCCTCATGTAAGCCGCACTGAGTCCCTTGGGGAGATGGTAGTGGGGTACAAATAAAGTTTAATAATAATAATAATAATAATAATAATAATAATAATGTCTAGAAATCCTTATACAGGCAAACATGATAGATTTTGTAGGTTCTTAAACTATTTTTTTATGTAAGTCAGGCACATTTTAACTGAAACTCCAGGCATTTTAATTCAGTTTTGGATAGCACAGCGAAGGGTTTGTAGCATTTGTTTTGCTGTTCATGCTCCTGTTCGAAAGATTTCATCTCACTTTACGTCCCTGAGATAATTGGATTTTGAAAAAATTGTCTTGTCCTAGAAACAAGGATTGCTGATAAAGCTTCAGTGGAGATACCTTTTCCCCATGATAACTTTCAGGAGTGAATTTCCCTTCTGAGAAGTAGATTTCATTTCACTTCCTCTTGTTGTTAACTAGATGCTGTAGATAAATTGGATATTTGTAACTTGAGGACTGCCTATAATGACTAATACAGCACAAAAGCCAACAGAGTACTAGTAAATAAAACATATTTGAATGAACAACTGAATGAAAAACTGCTGGTGATTTTCTACTACTGTGCTACAAATGACAACTCAGAACAAAATGAAATGGAAAGATGCAGAATGGGGGACGATGCCTGGCTTGATAGCAGCAGTATGTGTGAAAAAGATCTGGGAGTCCTTGTGGACAAGTTAAGCATGAGCCAAAAATGTGGTGGCAAAAAAAGCCAATGAAATTTTGGACTGCATAAATAGGAGTCTAGGGTCTATATCAGGGGTCCTCAAACTTTTTAAACAGAGAGCCAGGTGACAGTGCCTCAAACCGTTGGAGGGCTGGATTATAATTTGGAAAAAAAAACATGAATGAATTCTTATGCACACATCTCATTTGTAGTGCAAAAAACACCTAACAACAACACAATAATTAAGATGAACAATTTTAACAACTATAAACTTCTTAGCATTTCAATGGGAAATATGGGCCTACTTTTGGCTGATGAAATAGGATTGTTGTTCTTGTTGTTATTGTGTGCTTTTAAGTCGTTTCAGACTTTGGTTGACCCTGAGTAAGGGCCAGGTAAATGACCCTGGAGGGCCATATTTGGCCATCGGGCCTTAGTTTGAGGACCCCTGGTCTAGGTCCAGGGAAGTCATGCTCCCCCTCTATTCTATTCTGCCTTGGTCAGAACCACACCTGGAATACTGTGTCCAATTCTGGGCACCACAACGGAAGGGAGATGTTGACAAGCTGGAATGTGTCCAGAGAAGGGTGACTAAAATGAAAGGTTTGGAGAACAAGCCCTATGAGGAGTGGCTTAAAGAGCTGGCTGAGAAGAAACATGATGAGGGCCATATAGAAATATGTGAGGGGAAGTCATTGGAAGGAAGGAACAGGCTTGTTTTCTGCTGCCTTGGATACTAGGATGTGGAACAATGGCTTCAAACAACAGGAAAGGAGATTCCATCTGAACATTGCAAAGATACAGAATGGGGGACAATGCCTGGCTCAAGAGCAGTATGTGTGAAAAAGATCTTGGAGTCCTCGTGGACAACAAGTTAAACATGAGCCAACAATGTGATGTGGCGGCAAAAAAAGCCAATGGGATTTTGGCCTGCATCAAGAGGAGCATAGTGTGTAGAATTGTGTAATGTGTTAGGTTGTTAACTGTTTCTATACTGTAGCACTGAAATTTTGCTGTTCGTATTTGTTGTGAACCGCTGTGAGTTGCCTTCGGGCTGAGAACAGCGGTATATAAGTAAGGTAAATAAATAAATAAATAAATAATAAATAAATAGTAAGGTAATGTTAGACCACACCTGGAATTGTGTCCAGTTCTGGGCACCAAAATTGAAGAGAGATATTGACAAGCTGGAATGTGTCCAGAGGAGGGAATAAAATGATCAAGGGTCTGGAGAACAAGCCCTATGAGGAGCAAAGAGCTGGGCATGTTTAGCCTGAAGAAGAGAAGGCTGAGACGACAGAACATGATAGCCATGTATAAATATGTGAGAGGAAGGTACAGAGGAGACGGGAGCAAGCTTGTTTTCTGCTTCCTTGGAGACTAGGACGCGGAACAATGGCTTCAAACTACAAGAGAGGAGATTCCATCTGAACACGAGGAAGAACTTCCTGACTGTGAGAGCTGTTCAGCAGTGGAACTCTCTGCCCCGGAGTGTGGTGGAGGCTCCTTCTTTGGAAGCTTTTAAACAGAGGGCTGGATGGCCATCTGTCAGGGGTGATTTGAATGCAATATTCCTGCTTCTTGGCAGGGGGTTGGCCTGGATGGCCCATGAGGTCTCTTCCAACCACACCTGGAATACTGTGTCCAATTCTGGGCACCACAACGGAAGGGAGATGTTGACAAGCTGGAATGTGTCCAGAGAAGGGTGACTAAAATGAAAGGTTTGGAGAACAAGCCCTATGAGGAGTGGCTTAAAGAGCTGGCTGAGAAGAAACATGATGAGGGCCATATAGAAATATGTGAGGGGAAGTCATTGGAAGGAAGGAACAGGCTTGTTTTCTGCTGCCTTGGATACTAGGACGTGGAACAATGGCTTCAAACTACAAGAAAGAAGATTCCATCTGAACACGAGGAAGAACTTCCTGACTGTGAGAGCCGTTCAGCAGTGGAACTCTCTGCCCCGGAGTGTGGTGGAGGCTCCTTCTTTGGAAGCTTTTAAACAGAGGCTGGATGGCCATCTGTCAGGGGTGATTTGAATGCAATGTTCCTGCTTCTTGGCAGAATGGGGTTGGACTGGATGGCCATGAGGTCTCTTCCAACTCTATGATTCCATGATTTCACTGTGAGAGCTGTTCAGCAGTGGAACTCTCTGCCCTGGAGTGTGGTGGAGGCTCCTTATTTGAAGGCTTTTAAACAGAGGCTGGATGGCCATCTGTCAGGGGTGATTTGAATGCAATATTCCTGCTTCTTGGCAGGGGGTTGGACTGGATGGCCCATGAGGTCTCTTCCAACTCTTGGATTCTATGATTCTATGAATTTCCTGACTGTGAGAGCCGTTCAGCAGTGGAACTCCCTGCCCCGGAGTGTGTTGGAGGGCTCCTTCTTTGGAGGCTTTTAAACAGATGCTGGATGGCTATCTGTCAGGGGTGATTTGAATGCAATATTCCTGTTTCTTGGCAGGGGGTTGGACTGGATGGCCCATGAGGCCTCTTCTATGATTCTGATTTCAAACCTGCTAGAACACTGGTTCTCAACCTTCTGAATGCCGTGACTCCTTCATCCAGTTCCTCATGTTGTGGTGACCCCCAACCATAACATTATTTTAATTGTTAATCCATAACTGTCATTTTGGTACTATTATGAATTGTAATGTAAATATCTGATATGCAGGATGTATTTGCATTCACTGGACCAAACTGGGCACAAATACATTATATGCCCAAATCTGAATACTGGTGAGATTGGGGGGGGGGGGGGGGGGGGGGGGGGGGGGGGGGGGGGAGGAATTGATTATGTCATTTGAGAGTTGTAGTTGCTGGGATTTATAGTTCATCTACAATCAGAGAGCATTCTGAACTCCACCAATGATAGAATTGAACCAAACTTGGCACACAGAACTCCCATGACCAAGAGAAAATGCTGGAAGGGTTTGGTGAGCATTGACCTTGAGTTTTGGACTTGTAGTTCACCTACATCCAGAAATCACTGTGGACTCAAACAATGGTGAATCTGGACCAAACTTCGCACAAGTACTCAATATGCCCAAATGTGAACACTGGTGGAGTTTGGGGAAAATAGACTTTGAGCATTGAGAGTTGTAGTTACTGGGATTTATAGTTCACCTACAATCAAAGAGTATTCTGAACTCCACCAACGATAGAATTGGGCCAAACCTGGCACACAGAACCCCCATACTAACAGAAAATACTGTGTTTTCTGATGGTCTTTGGTGACCTCTCTGGCGACCCCCCCCCCCCAGGGGTCCCGACCCCCAGGTTGAGAAATGCTGTGCTAGAAAGAAGGGCTATAATGCTACCAAAAAACCGGAAGCAAACATCCCCAGGATGCGGTCTAGCCGTAAGCTACTTGTTTGCTGACCAAAAGCAGTAGGCATATGTGGGAAATACAGAAATATAGCAACACTTGCCACAGTGCCAAGGATTAGCCCTCCTGGGGCGCCTGCTTCGGGTTACTAAAGGTTACTTCGTCCCCCCAGCCTTCCATGTTTAGGAAAGGGGAGAGGGGGAAACGGAGCTCCGCCCCTTTCGGCTCCCAAGCAGCACCCCGGCCAACGGAGGCGGGGGGGCGAAGGGGATTAGAGGACAACAACAACAACAACAACAACAACGCCGTCCGGTCTCAGTGGAGCTCTTTGAAGGACAACAGACACCCATCCGCCCACCCATCCGCCTGTTCCCCTCCCCCCCTTCCACTCACAGGCACCCGGTCTGGATATTTCTTTCGGATCTTCTCCCCTTCTTTTTTCCTGTACTCGAAAGGGTGGTCTTCCTTGTATTGGAACTTCATGTCTCAGGCGAACTCAGAACCCCTTCGCGACGGCGGCCTCCTTGCCTCTCTCTCTCTCGCTCTCTCTGTCTCCCTCCCTCCCTCGCTCAGCTGATCACAAGATTCACAACAAACACCCAGGGTTCAAGCCGGGCATTGTGACGTCACCGAGCTAAAAGCCCGCATCGGCCTCTGCCGCCCGCATTTTGGGACTGCACCATTTCTGCGCGGGGGGGGGGAGGTGGTGGAATCAAAGGAGAGGCAGGCTCCTGCTTGAATCAAAGGGGGATACGTTTCTTGGGTGAAGCCCACGCTAGAATCAGGAAAGCTTCCAAAAACGATGCATCTCTTTTGTAAGTCATGATGTCTCATAGTGAAGGAAACAGACGAGTTATTATTATTATTAAACTTTATTTGTACCCCGCTAGCATCTCCCGAAGGACTCGATGCGGCTTACAAAGGCCAAGGCCTCAAAACACAACATAACAATACACAACCTAAAGCAAATTAAAAAATTAAAGCAATATTAAACAACAAGCAATAAACAATACATCAAGACACTATAAAACTGGGCCGGGCCAGAGTAATGGGTACAAGATTAAAAGTGCTGATGTGCAGGAGGTATATAGGATTATAAAAGTGCAGTGTGCGGTGTGCAGCAATCTTAGTTCTACTAAAGTGCTTCTGGGACTTGGTATTGGAGATTCCTAATCTGGGAAGGCACATCGGAACAGCCAGGTCTTCAAGTTCTTTCTAAAGACTGCCAATGTAGGGGCCTGTCTAAGTTCTTTTGGGAGGGTGTTCCAGAGTCGGGGGGCCATCACAGAAAAGGCCCTGTCTCGAGTCTCCACCAAGCACGCCTGCGATGCAGGCGGAATCACGAGCAGGGCCTCTCTGGATGAACAAAGTGAACGTGTGGGTTCGTAGACAGAGATGCGGTCACGCAGGTAGGATGGTCCCAAACCGTTCAGGGCTTTGTAGGTAAGCACCTGCACCTTAAATTGGGCTCGGAAAATAAATGGCAGCCAGTGGAGTTCCTTGAACAGGAGGGTTGACCTCTCTCTGTAATGAGCCCCGGTTAACATCCTGGCTGCTGTCTGTTGGACCAGTTGGAATTTCCGAGCCGTTTTCAAGGGCAGCCCTACGTAGAGCGCATTGCAGTAATCCAATCTAGAGGTGACCAAGGCATGGAGTTGTAGTCCAGCATCGGGAGGGCCGCATCAAATGACTTGGCCCCCTTCTAGACTGCCCTTTAATCCAGTTGAAAGCAGACAGTCCATTTATTTATTTGTTTATTTATTTACTAGCTGTACCCGCCACGCGTTGCTGTGGCTAAGCTTCCCTCCCTCTTTCTCTTCTTTCTCTCATTCCTTCCTTCTCTTCCCTCCCTCCCTCCCCCCACCCCCACCTTTCTTTCCCTTCCTTTCTCTCTTTTCTTCCGTCTCTACCTATTCTTGGACTTGGACTTCATTTGAATGCATTTGAAGGGTGTTCTAGAGGCAAGGGGCCACCACCGAGAAGGCCCTTTCTCTCGTCCCCAGATTCCATCTGAACATGAGGAAGAACTTCCTGACCATGAGAGCCGTTCAGCAGTGGAACCCTCTGCACCGGAGTGTGGTGGAGGCTCCTTCTTTGGAAGCTTTTAAACAGAGGCTGGATGGCCATCTGTCAGGGGTGATTTGAATGCAATATTCCTGCTTCTTGGCAGGGGGTTGGACTGGATGGCCCATGAGGTCTCTTCCAACTCTTTGATTCTATGATTCTATTCTATACATATTGTTAATGAAAGTAAATAAATAACATTTCTTATTTAAACTGTTATGTTTATTCATATCCCATATGCATGGGGCAGGGGCGGCTCACCCATTACACGAAATAAGTGGTCACAGAACACTTTTTTTTGCCAGGGGGGCAGAGGCGCTTCTGTAAATGCCCCTTGACTGCCACTTGAGGAGCGCCCCCTCAGCTCACAACAGCCCTAGCAATCCAGGGGGAGCCTTGGCTTTCTTGCCTCGCTGCCGGGCGATCCTCTTTCCAAAGGGGCCGGGCCCTTGAGCCTCGCCTAGCCCCTCTTGTTCCTGCTCCACCCGGCCACCGGGTGCATGAGCAGAGCCGGCGCTCAATCGTTCTCCGCATTCGATCCCTTCCCCATGACCGGCTCCCTTTCCTGATCCCCGGCGCTCCACCCGCCTCCTCTCCTCTCCCCAATCCGCGGGTCGGCCAAGGGGCGGAGCCGCCATGCCTGGCCCACTTCGGGTCCGGAGGAGTGTCTGAAGACCCCAGTGTGCGCACCAAAAGTCTCCTCTTCTCCTGACTTTCTCTTCAGCCATTGGGACCAAGAGAGAGAGAGCCCCTCCGGCTGGAGGTATCTCCCACCTCCGCTCCCTCCTTTGTTTTTGCAGCCTACCTTCAGGAAAGGTGGGCATCTCCACCTCTCTCTCTCTCTCTCTCTCTCTCTCTCTTTCTTGGTCCCAATGGCTGAGGAGAAAGTCAGGAGAAGAGGTGACTTTTGGTGCACATGCCGGGGTCTTCAGGCACACCTCCGGACCCAAAGCGGGCCAGGCAAGGGAGCAAGTGTGGCAAGTGTAGTTACTGGGATGTATAGTTCACCTACAATCAAAGAGCATTCTGAACTCCACCAATGATGGAATTGAACCAAATATGGCACATAGAACTCCCATGACAAACAGAAAATATATATCAATGATTGGTTTGGGGGGGGGGGGGGCAAAATACTGTTTGCTTACCGTTGAAAATTACCTAGGGCCGCCTCTGACCCCATCACCATCTCCTCAATGGGGACTCGGGGCAGCTTACCAGCCCCCCCCCCCCCCCGAATCAAAATCCTGGCTACGGGCTTGTAGAGGGTAAGTCTCTTGGAGTCTCCTTACGGAGAGAAAAAGTGGGGTATTCATCACAACAACGGGGCCGAAACGCCTTGGTTGCCTTTGTAATTGAAAGCCAAGGAGGGGATGTTGTTTTGAAGGGGCTCCCCACGACCCCACTGCCAGCCCATGGAGGGCCGCATGAGGCTCCCTTGATCGGATGTTTTGTAAGGATGACCCAGCAGCAGCCACCCTCTCGATCGATGGCTTGTCTTCTGAGGCGACCTGCATGCGGCTGTCACGCCCCCCTGCCCCCCTCCCTCCTCCTGAGTAAAGGCGGCTCTAGGCAGTGCCGCAAAAGGGAGGAGCGCGAGGAGACAGACGTCGAGACAGCCGCCGCCGCGTGACGCAGGGAGGCTTAGGCGAGGCTCCTTGGTGCAGCCGGGACGCATCTTGGCCAATGAGCTGTCCCCGCTGAGCCTGCGCCTGCCCAGGTCGGGGGATCGTCTCTGCCCCAAAGCTGAGGCTCGGAGCAACACCACCACCACAACGACCTCGACATAGGAGGACAGGGCTCTCGAGGATTTCTGTGGATTTGCTTGTTTTGAAGTTGTTGTTTTTAAATAAATATAAGCCGCTCGAGTGTATTTGCCAAGGTCATGCTCAACCACTGTTTGCATTTCAAGAGACGTCCCCATCCTTGTTAATTGCCATGCGTAGTCGCCTTGACTACCTTCTCCTCCTCTTCTTCTCTCCCCTCTTCCTCTTCTTCTTCCTCCTTCTCCCCCTCCTCCACCTTTTCTTTCTCCTTCTTCTTCTTCCTCCTCTCCCTTCTCTTTTTTTCCCTTCCTCCTCCTCTTCCCCCTCCCTCTTTTTCTCCTTCCCCTTCCCTTCTGCTTCCCTCCCTCCCTTTTCTTCCTCTTTTTTCTTTCCCCTTCTTCCTCTTCTTCTTCCTCCTCCCCTCCACCTTTTTTCTCCTCTCCTTCCTCCTCCTCCTCCTTTCTCCCCTCTTCCTTCTCTTCTTTTCCTTCCTCCTCCTTCTTCCTTCCCTTCCTTCCATCTTTCTCTTCCTCCTTCTCTTCCCTCCCTTTCTTCCTTCTTTTTCCTTTCCTTCCTCTCCTTCCCTTCTCTCTCTCCTCTTCCTTCTTCTTTTCCTTTCCCTTTCCTCTTCCTCCCTCTTCCCTCTCCCTTTTCTCCTTCCCTTCCCTTCCTTCCTCCTCCCTTCTTTTCCTTCTCCCCCTTCCTCTTCTTCTTCCTCCTCCTCCCCCCTTTTTTCTCTCCTTCCTCCTCTCTCTTCTCTTCTCTTCCTTCTTTTTTCTCCTCCTCCTCTTCCCTCCTTTCTCTTTTTTCCTCCCTCCTTCCTTCCTTCTCCCTTCTTTTCTTCCTCTTTCTCTCCTCCTCCTCCCCCTCTCTCTCCTCTCCTTCCTCTCTCAGTCCTATTTCTTGCTCCCTCTTCTCCTTGCTTCCCCTCCTTCTTTTTTCTTCCTCTTCCTTTCCCCGTCTTCCTCCTCCTCTTCCCTCCCTCTTTTCTCCTTCCCTTCCTTCTCTTCCCTCCCTCCCTTTCTTCCTCTTCTCTTCCTCCCCCTCTTCTCTTCTTCCTCCTCCTCCACTTTCTCCTCTCCTTCCTCTCTCTCCCTCTCTCTTTCCTTCTCTTTTTCCTTCCTCCTCCTCTTCCCTCCTCCTTTCTCACCCTTCCCTCTTCCCTCCTCCCTCCGCCTTTTCGATTTCTCACCCCGTCTTCTCATTCCTTACTTCCTCCTCTACCACCTACCCCTTTTGTCTCCGTCTCACCTCCTTCCTCTCTCTCTCTCTTCAGTATCTTATGCTTCCTCACCCGCGTAACCTATGTCACTGTCTAGGTTTCCCCTCCCATTACTCTTTTGAGTCATTTTCCCCTTACCTGCGGCTGTCATACCTACAGGGATAAGCTTCTTGTCTTTCTTTTCCTTCCTTTTCTCTTTCTTCTCTTCTCCTTTTCTTCCTTCCTTCCTCTCTCTCTCCTCTTTCTCTCCTTCTCTTTTTTTTCTTCTCCTCCTTTCCCTCTTTCCTTCTTTTTTCCTCCCTCCCTTCCCTTCTCTTCCTCCCTCCCTCCCTCTTTTCTTTCATCCTTCCCTTCCACCTTTTCATCCTTCCTCCCTTCCCTCCACTTTTTTCTCTTCCTCTCCCTCCTCCTTCTCCCCTTTCTTCTATTTATTACTCCTCCTCTTCCTACCCTTGGTCGGCCCCTATTCCTTTTCCCTTCCCCTCCCCTCTTTCTCCTTCCCTCTGTCCCTTTGTAGCCTATTCCTTTTCTTCCTCGTTTTCTCTTTCTCCCTTTTCTCTTCTTCTGTCCTCTGACACCCCCCCCGCACACCTTTTTT